GCCATCATCATATATAGCCAGCAAGAAAAGAAAAACTTGGTAAAAAAACCAGTTGGGAAACTTTGATGTTTTCTGTTAGAAGACATCAAAAAGTATTTAATACGACTATTATACTTTTGCTATATTCTCTTTGAATAAAATTAAAGGGCTTAACTATAATTTTAGAGGCTGTTATTGGTTTATTGATTTGTAAATCTATATAGGATTTGTGAATCCTTATTAATTATAAAATCAAAATACATGGATTTTGAAATAATATGTTTTATCCTTGGATTTGAATCCTTCTATTTTACACTCTCAAATCATTTCAAATCCATTTAAAATATACAACATATTTTAAAATACAAAAAGTCACTAAACTAATAACATGGGATATTAACTAGAATTTATAAATCATACAACCAATAACACGTGGTTTTGATAATTATTTTAAAATCAGTCATTGAATAACATATGATTTTTTTTGGGTTTTTAATCCATTAAACTTAATAAACCCCCCCCCCCCCAAATTATAATTATTATCTAGATTTAATTTTTTAGATTAAAATCCATCTTTCATATTTATCTTATCTGTAAAAAATTCTTCAATTACTTTTAATCATGCGACTGTTGCTACCTCAAAATAAGGTATGTCTGGTGTCGCTAATAATGCTAGCGATTGTAAATTCATGTTATTAAAATCACGCAACAGAAAAACATGAGAGACAAAAAAAGGCTGAAGAACAAATGAAAGCTTTATTTTTTGTTTCCGTCGTAACCGCTGCGACTAATTGTCAAACATGGCCATAGTATTAAATACAACTATTGTAATTTTTGAGCTTATGTGATAATTTAAGTATTTTCTTCGAATGATTAGTTGATCACTTGTTAAACATGGTCTTAATTTTGCAGCTCTTTGATTCAAAATTAATATTTTTTTGTTAGACTTACAGTTCTTGTTAAAAGTGTATAACAACTAATCAAAAGGCCCAGATCGCCGAGCTTGTGACTGTCCACAAGTTCTTGAAAACCGACGAGAGATTCCTTGCATTCCTTGCTAAAGAAACTGCTTCTGATCATCCACATACTAAACCTGTTTAGCTATTGGTTTATAACTCTCTTGCTTTTATAAACCTTTAAACTTATGTTCTGTTTAGGTAACACGATCAACTCCTTATCAGTTGGAGTTGTTTTTCCTATTGAAAACTTGTTTTTCCTATTGAAAACTTGTATTCCTTTTGTATGCACTTGAATTTTCATTTTGATGTGTTTTTGGGATTTAAGATTTCTTTAATTTGTTTTTGTTATTACTTTTCTTCAAACTAAAATCAAGAACCAAAAACGTAATTAAGAAAACGATAACCAAGTAGTAGGTATTCATTAGCAACTTTGTCGTAGATATGAGTCGTACATCAGTAGCTAATGTTACAACTACATACCGACGACATATTTAGTAGCAAACTTCAGTCGCTACTTCGTCACTAGACAGTCACCAAAACTTACGACTGATGTACGACCACTACAAGAAAACCTGCATTTTGGGACTAAAGTTTGTGACCCTTTTTTAAGTCGCAAAATTGAGCGACTGTTTTGCAACTTAATTAAGACACTTTTCCGACTACAGCAAAAATAGAAGCAAAACAGTCGCAAACTTGCGACGACCACAAGAAGTCGGCAAAATGTCGCTTATTTACGACTATTAGCAGACATCGTTCTAACCAATTTATATGGTCGCAAAATAATAACACTTTGAGACTACTTAGTGACTAAACTTATAATAAGAACGAAAAGTAGCAAATTTGCGTCATATTTGCAACAGTATTTCGATCACAAAATTATTTATATTTTTGTTATAATAATCAAGATTAAGATGACTTTTATTTGTGTAATCTGCATAGAAATGTTCACAAGATCTAAACTAATTTAAAGAGTTACATGTTATTTTATAAGAAGGTATGTAATTTTGTGAAAATATCATAAAAACCTACGTAAACAATATTTTAAACTCTTAAACTGTTAAAAATGCTCTAGCATACCATCGTAAGTTCTTATTAGTGCTTGAGTTTATCTGTCTTGGTCAAAATGTATAGAATTCAAAATTTTGCTTTGTAACTAAGAGCAGACGGTCACGAAAACGTAACAATTTGCGAGGACTTTGTAACGAACTTTGCGACTAACACCTGAATTAGATACTAACTTGCAACTGTTTACCAACGCTCGATTTTTTGTATTTGAAATTTCACATAAGGGAATTGTTAACATGCTTCTATATGCATTTGTACTTTGATATGATCAAAATAAGTCATAAAAACCTTTTTCAAGCTTTCTATTTGAACGTTTTAATACAAAAATTTCAGAATATCTAAATCAATATAACGAGGTACATGTTACTTTATAAGAAAGTTTGTAATTTTGGGAATTTTCATAAAAAACCTACTAAAAAAATGTTTTAAACTCCTAAATTGTTACATTATACTCTAGCATACCATCATAAGTGTTTATTAGTGCTTGAGTTCATCAGTTTTTGTCAAAATGTATAGAATTCAAAATTTTGCTTTGTGACTAACAGCAGACGGTCACAAAAACGTAACAATTTGTGACGGCTTTTTAACGAACTTTGCGACTAACACATTAATTAGATACTAACTTGGGACCACTTAGCAACGCTCGATTTTTTGTATTCGAAATTTCAAATAAGGGAATTGTTAACATGCTTCTATATACGTTTGTGCTTTGGTATGATCAATATCAGTCATAAAAACCTTTTTAAAGCTTTCCATTTGAATGTTTAAATACAAAAATTTCAGAATATCTAAATCAATATAAAGAGTTACATGTTACTTTATAAGAAGGTTTGTAATTTTGTTAGAATTTCATTAAAAACCTACTAAAACAATGTTTTAAACTCTTAAACTGTTACAATATACTTTACAATACCATCATAAGTTCTTATTAGTGCTTGAGTTCATCAGTTTTGGTCAAAATGTATAGAATTCAAAATTTTGCTTTGTGACTAAGAGCAGATGGTCACAAAAACATAACAAATTGCGACAACTTTGTAACGAACTTTGCGACTGACATCATTAATAGATACTAACTTGTGACCGCTTACCAACACTCAATTTTTTGTATTCAAAATTTCACATAAGTGAATTGTTAACATACTTCTATATACGTTTGTGCTTTGGTATGATCAATATCAGTCATAAAAATCTTTTAAAGCTTTCCATTTGAATGTTTAAATACTAAAATTTCGGAATATCTAAATCAATTTAAAAAATTACATGTTAGTGACTAGAGGAAAAGTTACAAATAAGTCACTAAATACTCACATAAATGTGACTTATTTGCGAAATTTATTTTTAACTTTAAAATAATTATTTATAAGGTTTTGAAAATCTAATTATTTTCTTAACTCTAAATTTTATTTAGTGTATATACTCTTCTTTGACATATCACTCCACACTTAGAATAGAATTGTTATTCAAAATAATTATGGTTTGTTATTCAAAATCAGATATTTTTAAATATGAAACCAAAATTATTTGGTTTGGGCGGACAAACCAAAAATTTTGTCAAAAGTTTCCCACCAACACAAATTTAATTGGTTTCCCGGTTAAAGTGAAAGTATTTGGAATAAGGCTAATGGGTTAAGTATAATGTAGGGAATTTTGTTTAGAATGCCAGTTTGGAAACTCAATTTTCTGAAACTGCCATTAACAAAAGCTTCTTTCAAATCCTGCCACAAAGAGAGTTACAATGACGATTTTGCCCTTAGCATTAGAGAGTGGAATTTTGCTTTTTCTGTTGGCAGCAATAGCCATTAATTGCTGGGTTGTAGCCTAATATTCTGTGGGAAATGGACCATGTCAAAAATAACGGACGAGTAAGTAATATATGATGGACAAAATATATAAAGTAGATGTGGTCCATCGAAAACTCACTTTGAAAGAATTCAAGAGACAACTCTGATGCGTGTCCTCTAACTCCGATGCGTGTCCACTGTGGACGTTCTATAGAATGACACAAATAAAGTTTTGATTTATTTAGGGGCACAATGTAAACCAGTTATGTACAAATTGGTGGGTGCTAATGGAGGACAAGTAGAGAGATTTTGTGAAAGTTGTGGGTGGTGAAGGAGCAGAGACAAAAATACGATAGACAAAAAGAAAAATCTCGTCCACAAGATCTAGTCCATTACATCTGATCTGCCGAATCTTGTCCATCTACAGAAAAATGTATTGTCCATCGCTGAATCAGGTCACTATAACTGGTCCGCCATATTTTCTCACCTAGAACAAGTCTATCATAACTAGTTTTCATCCACCGGAATATGATTCGCCGGATCTGGTTTGCCACAACTAGTCTATCGTAACTGGTCTATCTGGTCCGCCGAATCTGCTCTTCCGGAGCTGGTTAAAGTTCGTAGGAACTGATTATGGTCCGCCTGAACTCGTCCGCCAGATCTGGTCTATCGGAACTCGTCTTCCTGGTTGGTCGAAACTGGTCCGTCGAATCTGGTCTGCTTGAGCTGGTTATAGTTCATCAGAACCGACTGTGGTCTGCCAGAACTCGTCCGCTGGAGTTATGTTCGGTCGGAACTGGTCCGTCGAATCTGATCTGTCGAATCTGGACCAGAATTGCTATGGTCCGCCGGATCTGGTCTTTCGAAACTGGTCCGTTGGATCTGGTCTGTCGAATCTGGTCCGTTAGAGTTCGTCCGCCGGATTTGGTCCGCGGGAGTTCATCCGTCGGATCTGGTCTGCTGGAATTGTTTGTTGTTGGAAGAAGAAAAAGAAGATGAAGAAGAGAAAGAGATAATGAAAAAAAAATTGAACAGTCACGAAACAAAGCAGCCCATGTCATTCAAGGATATGTTGGTCTTTTTACATGGCTCTTGTGGCAGGCGGGAGAAGAGATTTATAGAAATGGCATTCCTTAAGAGTTTGGTCACTGTACATGGCAGTATTAATAATTTTCTCTATAATGTATACCTATACCTATACTCTTCTTCTCCATCGACAGAAGCACTCCCACACTTAGAAAAAAAAACCTAAACTCCAATCTATGCCGCTTAAGAAACACTCAGATCTCTTCCTCTTCAAACTGGCGCAGATCTCCTCCTCTTCGAAGTAGCTTCGATCTCTTCCTCCGCAACTCGCCATGCCTCTCTCGACGGACAGCCGGACCACCATCGATGTTTATGTGGTAAGGTTTAAGATCGTGTATTCATAATCAATATGGAGATCCGTTTGAACTCGTGAATTTCAAGGTGTTAAACTCTTAATCTTCATAACTTCTCTCTTTTAGAGTATTCGTTTTGGCTGCTCTTTGGATCTGAATTGGATCTTAACGAGTTCAAACCACTTTTAAATGTTGAATAAAAGTCTGGAATCATAAAGGCAATGAGAAGCTAAGATGAGAAAGGGAGAATACTAAAGAAAGTAGCAGCATGTCGAGTTCTATTCGTCGTAGAGGAATCAGTAGAGCAAATCGAGCTATATGAGGATTCACGCCACTTCCTAACACCGTTTGTTTCGTCGTTGAAGACCAGAGACAGACCGAGGTCATGAGACACGCCGGGGAGGCTTGATGGAAGAAGCATTGCAAGCAACGGCGGCGGGGGATCGTTGGCAAACGGAATCTCGTTGCGGCGGCTGAGGGCATTGTTACGTGATTAGGGTTTTTTTTCTTAATTTTTGCATCCGGTTTAATTTTGTAATTGGTTCAATTTTTAACTCTTAACCAATTCCAAATTTGGGTGGTTTATTAATATCAATATATATTAATTAAACAAATTCTCTCACTAAATCTAAAATATATATATTAATTAAAAAAATTCTGTCACTAAATTAAAAAATATATTTATTATTTTTAATTACATTTTGTTTGATATGTGTACATTTTTTTATTATCTGTCGCTAAAAAGTCTCTATCTACCACTATAATTAAGGTCAGAACTTGGTCTCTAATATACAAACATATTATAAGGTCATAAAATCGACGTAAATGTGTGACTATTTTGAGACGACTTAATTTAGCGACTAACAAAAATAGTCATAAAGTAGTCGCAAAGTAGGTATTTGCGACCGTTCTGTGACCTTTTTGGGAGTCGAAAATGACTTGTTTTCTTGTAGTGTACTACATAATTAGTAGCAAACGTCAATCGCTACTTTGTCGCTATGTAGTCGCCAAACCTTACGATTGATGTACGACCGGTTAACAACTGATAGCAAACTGTCGTAGATCAGTCGTAAATCAGTAGTAATTTTGCGACTAATATGTTTTATGACTAGACCTTTAGCGACATCACATATTGGTCATTAATCGATCTTAAAACTAAAAATCAGTAGCAATTTTGCGACTGATATGTTTTACGACTAGACCTTTAGCTACATCACATATTGGTCACTATGTTTTACGACTAATTGCCTACTCATTTTAGAGTAGCTAAAAACTCGTTTCGGTGTATAGGTATTTGGATTTTAGTTCTGAAATTTTAATAAAAGTAGTTGTACAAGAGCAATGTTAAACAAATTAGCAGATGATTTATGATTGGTTCGTCTATAAATTTTCCAGGAGTAGATTGATTCATAAAAAAATGAAAACATGCATGACAGATATAAGAAGCATTGTTATCTCCAATTGGCTCAACATGCATATGTTGCAGAACTGATATAATTTTACCAGAGCTAGAAAAAGTAACATTGAACTATGGCTTTGTTAGCTCTTACGTTTCCATTACTACCAAAGTAAAGTAAATATAAAATAACATAAAATAGGTAGGAAATATCTGATTTACGTGTTTAAATGGCTTTGTTCGAGTTCTCTCTCATTAATTACAAAATTTGCAATTATTACCTATCTTCGTCAGTATTTACTTCACAGTATAAGAGAATACGTTATTAACTTTCTGATAAGTGACTAGTGCACTTACTGTTTCGATTAAAAGTCTTGAGAGAACTTTAGAGTTAACCTGTTGGAGTATTGAATGGATGGGTGACCTTACAAAAAGTGGTTATGAATTGTATGATTGAGGTTAAAACACATGAAAAAATCATGTGGTGATTTGTAAGATCAGTAAACAAGTCTTTCAACCTCCCGGACATAAGCCAACCGACCGTCGGATATTGATGGGCCTAGTGAAAAAATGTGAGGCTCATTAAAAGAGATGGGCCCGTGAGCTGGTAATGAACATAGGATCCACTGAAGAAATGGCGGTCGGAGCATTACAATTTTTAAATTCACTTTTTACAGAAATTGATTTTACAATAAATTACAATATTTTTCAATTAATTTCTTATTATGGATTAACATGTCGTCGCAAAAATTTCAATATAATATATATCTTCTATAATATTTTTGCAGCAGTATTTAAAAAAAATCTTAGGAGTTTCAACATATTTACATTGCTATGCTACTGACATTAATTTCTCCTATTAATTTGGAAAATTAAATTGAAAATATCAAAACCACGTTTAATCAAATCACTAAAGCGTTCTATTATTACACTCTCCTAAAATCTCTCTAAACTCTACTAAATCCAAAAATTTCAATATGCATTTACCTCATGTCCGTGTCAAAGAAAACTAACGTTACGTAATGATATTTCAAAATTTTCTAATGCACCAATGGACTCAAAGATACTATGGCCTTGATTGGCTATGGCTGTAACTTTTGATTTTTAACTGTAGATTTCAAGCTATAGATTATTTTGCTGTACCGGTAAATTTTATTACTGTAGATTATTGGCTGTATAAATTAAAATTTTGGAAAGATGAAAATTATGTGCTTTAAAAGAAAGTGATTGCTTTGAATTTAGTGTTGTAGACCAAAATTTGGCTGTGGAAAGATTTTAAAGTCACAACGAATTAATCAAAGCCTATATAACGCAAAGGGTTAAAAGTGTAGCTCAAATTCAGGGTTCATTGAATACATGTTTAGACAATATGTATATAAAATACTCTAGTGTAGATTAATAAATGTGTAGATTAGTTCTGGTTCCAGTAAATTCAACATTAAACCATTACTTAATTCCTTACTACAGTATTTGATTTAAAAGCTGTAAAAATGTTTATTTTACTGGTTAGATTTAATGTTATAATTAAAATAAATGAAGAGTTATAACAACGATCAAATGCAGATCTTGCATGAAAATAACACACATTAATCAGTTTACTTAATGATACTTAGTTCTGTTATTTTTAGTGTGTGTTTTTTTCCATTACTCTTGACTCCATTTAAAATTGGTCTAGGGAAAAACAAAATTCAAAAATTTCCAAACACACAAAAGAATGAAGTTTTATATCTATAGAGAGCCACAAATAATATTTAAATTCATGAGAATCTCGCTTTTGCTTGTAATAAAATAATATTCTCGTTGTAAGAGATAACTTGCATTTGAGTATGATTATGAAATTATCAAGTTGCACCAGTCATTCTCCACTAAACATTCGTTGACCTATGACCTAAACAAAACACTTTTATATATCTTTCAAAATAATTGGTCGGCTGCTTTATTTTTGTATTGACAAAAACCTATTAAAAATGTGAAGTTAAGTATCAAAATGCCCGAAACAAGTGAAAATACTTTACCCATTTAATCTTTTGTTAAAACTATTTTTGTATTAGTAAAATCTTATAATATAGTTCCGTGTTATTGAGTAGTAATATGAGAAATTAAATTAGGTATATAATGCTAATATATTATATAGTATCAAAATGTTTTGCTTGTTCATGCACATGTGAATATCTTAGATTTCACGGCGTTTACTATTTGAGTTTTGACAGTCTCTAGTGTTCATACTCTTATTTTTACTTCACTAAATAGTATAACTCCAACAATTATAAAGTCTCAAATATTATACAGAAAATATTTATGGATTGTTCTTCCCTATAAGAAATTAGAACAACACACTAAATTTAAATAAAATCTACTTATTTAAAAAAAAAAAAGAAGAACAAATGAGAGATAGGTTTTGTTGTTAGTTGGAACTACTAGCTAGTAGTAGTACTGAAGTAGATATAAACTTAACAAACTAAAAGGCAAACGAATAAATAATAAACTAAAACGAATAAAACAATAATACAATTGTAGTCGTCGGTATTTGATCACATCATGGTTTTTGTATAATTAATTAATCCAGATTTACAAAATTAGCTAAATCCCAAAATAGTTTCACCGAATGTTTTACATGAAAAAGGCCAAAGCCTATTATTATCATCTTTAGTTGTTTATAAACTCTAGCCTCTCTATTAAAAATGTGTAGCTATTTGATCAAAAACACATATATGATTGCTTATGTAAGGGTAAATATTGTATGGACTTGTATCAATGTTTTTGTATAACCTTTTTAAGGTATAGTAAACTATTTATGCATTATTCATGCTAACTAAATTTTTTCCTCGTACACATAAGTATATTATTTTATACAGAATTACACTAATATTTGAAATACATATATTACATTAATAATTTGTGAAGTTTCCTACATTGTTGGCATCGACTCATTGTTGACTCATCACGATGAAATAAATTTGGCAGCTCATGGGGCTGTCTTTTTCATTTTACTTAAACCTTTGGCATGTGGGTTTTGAAAGGACTCAACTTGCTTTTTGTCAAAAAGGACTCAACTTGTTGCATTCACTGATTAGTATTCTATAAAAAGTACCTATTATAAATTCATCAAAGACCCCACGAAAATATCACACAACATGAGATATAGAATTACAAATTAGTTAGAAATGGCTGGCAAAAAATATGAATTAAAAACCTAGCTGTTAATTTTAATGTGGACAGTGCTAGGATCAATTTTGTGTGGTAGGTTTTCTAGATTTGTGTTTTTCTATTTATGTACATATGACATATTTGTTATAGATGTGTACAATTTGTTTTTGGTTCTGTTTTTAAACCTCTATTGACGGACGAGGTGAAAGCTTAAGGAGAATCATAATGATTAGGTGAATATGACACAAAACGATTAACTTAACTAGGAAAAAAAAGTTAGATGATCATTATATACATTATCAGCATTTTAGTGAAAGATAGAAATAAATGTACGAGTGGTAGTATATAATAATTTTAAAGACACTAATTTTACATACACTTATATTTGTATATTGTGATTTTGAGGTTTATAGTATGCTTTTTTTAGCATAAGTAGCAAGAGTAATGCAGTACTATTATCTTAATTATTCGTGGGAGATCTATTTTTATTTATATTTCATCTAGTTTATTGCGTATTTTGGATGAAATAGTAAACATTTTCGTATGAATTTGGATGAAATGAAATGAATTTGTAAAACAAAAATATTTTAGTAACAGACTAAGGAAAACATCATTTTGTGCTAGAGTTCTCTTTTATTAATGAACATCATTTTTATTGTATTTTACGTGTTATTGTGAATTTTTGTATGAATTTGGATGAAAAACAAAATTGAGAGAAAATATCCTTTTTTCTAAAGTTATCATTGCAGACATGAGAATTTTGGGTTGGATTACTCGACCGTACATCTATCTCACATATATGATATGACTCTTTTTGGAGTATAAGTAATATTTATTCAATTATTTGCGATACGAGTTCAATTATTGGTTGAGAAATCATTGCTGTTCATTTTCTTTTCGTCGAAAAAATCGTGTGTTTTTCAATTATCTTACGTTTAGGAGAAAGCTTTCCATCATTTTTTTTATAGAAAAATATTTACATACATATATATATTTTTAAAAGTATTTCAATTCGTCATTGTTGACTAAAAAAGTTTTTAAAACTATTTCAATTATGTTTTGCTTTGGTTTTTTTGTTTTGAGG